TTTTCCTTTTTTATCAACACCTACCTTAGTGTTTAGCTCGTGGTAGGTACGAAGGAGAAAACAGTGTCCCAGACTATAAAGGTTCTTGTAGGGTAGGTTAGAGATTTTAGAATATTACTTAAATATATTGAGAAGCCACTGAAATGTTAGAATTATTATAAGATTTTGATTTTTGAATACAAAATTCCTGCTTCTTATTTCTTTTATGATATCTCTATTCTCCTACACATGCAATGTTAATATTCTCAAGTGATGTAACATTTAAATTGGGGTATGTCCTTATTTGCCAAAACTTGCCAATTTTAATTTCAGCTAGATAGATCTATCTTATTCTTTATTTCTCATTGAATTAGGGCCTTGGTTAACTACAGAATGGGCATCTGTCTTTAGTATATAGATCATTTAAGTTATTGTATGCCTATGGCCAATTCATTGTATAATATTTATTCTAATTAACTAAAATACTTGGACTAGCTCTTCTTTGATTAAAGATAAAATTGTCTAATTCTTTTTTTAAAAGTGCAGTATGACTTATTGCTTTCCACACCTATTCATATAAACTTTTTTTTTTTTTTTTTTTGTACTGAAGATCGAACTTGGGACCTCGCACTTGTGAGGCAGGCAGTGGAACCACTGGGCTAAATCCCCAGCCTCTAAACTTTGATATTTAGTCTTGTGAGATAAGCAAAGTTGTCTTCATTTTTTAAAAAGAAGCTTCAAATGTAAAGAATTATTTGCAAAATCAGTACAGAGAATTAACATTCTTCAATCAAATTTACTCACAATAAAATTTTCTCATATTTGTGTCATCATTCTCTCTATAGATAATTCTGGACTATCTGTGGAAAAATTACAATTTATTTTATGTTTTTTAGGGAATACTGGGGATTTAACTCTGGACTGTCATATTGAACTGCACCCCAAGCCCATTTTTATTTTTCTGTTTTTGAGACAGGATCTAAGTTGCCCCAGTTTGGCTCAAATTTGAGATCCTCTTGTCTCAGACTCCCAAAATGCTGATATTACAGGTCTGTGCCACCAGGCTTAGTTTTTTTAATTCCAAGATTTTTATTTCATGATGTATTTCTTAAGATGAAGGGCTTTTTTGTAAACTTATCAATATTATCAATATTAGAACATTTAATATTGATATAATACTAATTGTATTTTAACATAAATAAAAGGTAGTTATTAAAACATAGGAAAATATTATGGATTTTATTTATAATTTTCCAATTTTCCCAATAATGTCCTTCATAGATTTTTAAGATCCCAGTCCAGTACCAATTCTAGGTTACACACTACATTTAGTGATCCTGTCTTTAATCCCCTTTAATCTAGACTAATTCCTCAGCTTTTCTTTGACTTCATCACAGTGACATTTGTGCTAATTTCCCTTAGTTTTAATTTGCCTATGCTTCTTCATGATTACATTCAATTATACATTTTTGTCTGCAACATGAAATAAGTCCTACTTCTACTTCTCAGTGCATTACATCACAAGGCTTGTGAATGTCACTTGGTCCCATTATTGGTGAATTTAACCTAGGTCCCTTAGGTAAGGTGATGTCTACTAGATTTATCCATCACAAGTAATGTTTTTCTCTCATGATTAAGAATCTATGGTAGATTATAAAAATGGCCTCAAGTGCTTCTCATTACAGGATGCAATGTAACTATGCAATTTCTCCCTTCAAGACACAGATTACTCCAACTGAGCCAGCCAGGGCAGAAAACCCACAGGACTTTGAGACAGTGTGGATGTCCATTGTTTTGGGCTAAGTTTTGAGCAAAAGGTAATAATTTCTGGGGAGACACTTTGGGACTACATACATGTACACATAATTTTGCCAATTAGATTTATGATTCTTGCCTAAGTTAAATATTATTAGAAAGACTGCTTCATTTCCTAGACATGAAGAATGTAAGGATAGAAGCATATATCTTTCAGGGACATAGGACTAGTAAGTGGCTGGGTTAGTATGAGAATTATGGTCTTTTATCTGTGGGTACACAGCTTTGCTTAACATAATAACATGTAGTGCTCAGTGCCCTGATGGCAGAACTGGAATTTAAAAGTGGGAGCAATACAAATTCCAGACTTCCTATGATGATGATGATGATGATGATGATGATGATGATGTTTTCAGATGGGAGTCTTTTTTATTTTTATTTTTTTGTACTAAATTCTTTTATTGGTACATTGTAGGCATACAACATAATTCCATTTCTCATTGGGAATTGTACCTTTACATAATGAATCTTGGTTCTTATTTTTTCCCCATTCCTAGCCCTCCCCTCATGCCCTCCACCTTTCCCTATTTACAAAGACTTTATTTCCATTTTTTCCATTTCTCGTCATTTTTCCTTTCCTTTCTTTCCTTTCCCCTGCTCCTCCCACTACCCCTACCCCTTTGGACCTTTTCTTCCTATTTTACATTATGGATTATTCATTCTAATCATTGGTATATTTTAGGTATACAATATAATGACATTCATCATTGGACATTTGCAACTTTACATAGTCTCTCTTGGTTCTTATTTTTCATCCTTGCCCAGCCCTCCCTTCAACCTCTCCAGTCCTCCCTATTTACAAAGATTTTGTTCCTAGTTTTCCATTTTCTCATATTAATCCCATTCCCTTCTATCCTTTCCCCTAGCCCTCCCACTTCCTTCCCCTTTGCTCCTTTTCTTCCTATTTCACATAACCTATTATACATTTAGTCCTTATTTACACATTCAGTTTCTCACAGCAGAGAAACTATTCGGTATTTACACATGGGTGTTCTATTTATTTCACTTAAGAGTATTGCCTCAATGTGCATCCACTTAGCTATAAATGTCTCTAATATCTCATTTTTGATGGCTGAGTAGTACTCAATTTTATAAAAAAACCCACGTTTTCTTTATCCAGTCTCCAGTTGATGGGCATTTGGGCTGTTTCCAAGTTTTAGCTATCACAAACTGTGCTGCTATGAACATGGGTGCACATATATCACTGTGTTATGATTCTTTTAATTCTTTGGGGAAGATCCCCAGCAGTGGAATAGCGGGGTCAAATGGGACTTCCAGTCCTAGTTTTTTGAGGTATCTCCATACTGCTTTCCACAGTGCTTGCACCAGTCTACACTCCCACCGGCAGTGGAGCAGGGTTCCTCTTTCCCCACAGCCCTGCCAGCATTTGTTCTTGGTTGATTTCATGATAGCAGCCATTCTTTCTGGAGTGAGGTGTAATCTCAGCGTTGTTTTCATTTGCATCTCTCAAATGACCAGTGATGTTGAATATTTTTTCATGTATTTATTTGCTATTTCTACTTCTTTGTGTGAGAAATGTCTGTTCATTTCAGATGCCCATTTTTGGATTGAGTCTTTACATTTGGGAGGTCTGATCTTTTTAAGTTCTTTATAGATTCGAGATAGTAGACCTTTGTCTGAGGAAGAGCAGGGGAAAGTTTTTTCCCACATTGTGGGTTGTGAGATGGGAGTCTTGCTATGTTGCCCCTGCTGGTCTCGAAACCTTGGGCTCAAGCTATCTTCTTGCTTTAGCCTCCCAAGAGGTTAACTACAGGCATGTGCCACTACACCTTGAAGAGGTTCCATAATTGTTTGTGGTGTGGGAGTGGCAGGATGGAAAATGTAGTTATTGTTTAAACTGATGGTTGATTCATAAAAAGGTATAGACAACTCTAGAAATTGCCCTTTTTGAGTATAATCAAGAGGATCGCTGATATAATGCGTTATAATTGACTATCATGTATGTACAAAATAGCTCTTTAATATTTTTGATGTGGTTATCATATCCTTCCCCAATTCTGCCAAATAAACCATAAAACACATGAAGAGAGGGCTGGGGATTTAGCTCAGCTGCCTGCCTCCCAAGCGCAAGGAACCGAGTTCGATCCCCGGTACGAAAAAAAAACAAAAACAAAAACGAAAATACATGAAGAGGCAGTGAGAAGAAGAAAGGATCTCTGTCAACCTCTTATTAGAAATAAGAAAACATACTAAAGAAAGTCAGGGGCCAAAATGAACTAACCAAGGGCCCACAGTGAATATATGATCAAACAGGGACTTGAACACAGCAGTCCCAGTTTCTTAGAATTTCTCTCACATGGCATTCCGGGACAGGTCTCAGCTCTTGCAGATGCTGTGTCACCAGTTTGGTATTTTTCTAAAAGCCTTACATTTATTTAAATACTATTTAGTATCACGGATTTTCTGCTACATTTCACATTAGCAGAGGTTTCAGGTACTTTGATATGCATGCGGTGTGCATGTGTTAACTACCATATCCGTCAGCCTGAGAAAGAAATTCAAAGTCCCACTTTTTTCGTTTACCCCTGGCTGAAAAATTGAAGACTGCAATGAAGCGCTCTATGTGCTCATTTCTCTTGAGAGCGCGTTCCGTGGCGGTGGCAGCTGCGGCCAACCAGAACACTAGGATCCTGTTGGGGTGCGTGAACCATAGTGTCCAAGAGGCCAGAGTCTGTCTTTTCCACATCAAGGCTCCGAAACCTCAAACCCTCAAGTTTCTCCAAGCATCTCTTCACAGAAGAGCCGACGGCAAGGGTGGGGTTGCTGGAACTTTCCCTGAGGGCAGCCCCGACCCCAGCTCACCTCTAAGAAGCTGGTCGCTGCAGTGGGCGCACACCGTGTACTTAAGCCGGCTTTTGCACCGTGGGGCCCCAGGGTGGCCGGGGGTCGCCAGTCAGGATCCCCCGAGAAGAGCCCACCCCACAGTCCTCCTTGGGGGCCGTGCCTGGCAAGTATCGCGGGACTTGTTCACGTCGCAGGCAAGGCAGCACCAGGAGCAGCTGGAGCGCGGTCGGTGCGCACCGCCCCAGCCCGGGGAGGAGCGGGAGCCGGGAGGGAGGAGGGCTGGGGGTGCTGGTTACGTAAATGATACTAGCCCAGTGAGAGGCCTTCAGGCTGGGGCTACGAGAGGGGAGGGACCGCGCTAGGAGGAGGGGCCGGGAGGCCGCGGGCTGGGGCGGGAGGGGGGCGGGGGCCGGGGACGAAGTGACCAGGCGGCGGCGACACCGCGAGGTGACAGTGTGCCGGGAGCCCTCCTTCCCTCTCCTCGGCCTCGCCGCGCTCGCCCAGTCCTCCCGCCCGCCGCGGCGCTATGAGGGAGCCTCTCGGGGGCTGGCCGAGGCCGGAGCCGGATCGCGGCGCTCCCGGGAAAGTGTGAGGAGAGGCGCGGGTGGGAGTCGGGCTGTGTGCGGCGCGGCTTCCAGGTGAGCGCGGGCTGGGCGAGCCCCGCACTCTGTCCCTCTGGCTGGCGCCTGTCGCGCTCCACCGGGGCTGAAGCCCGTGCGCGGACCGCACTGCTCTTCGCGGGATCCTTGGCCACGATAGCAGGTCTCCGTCTCTCTCTGTCTCTCTCCCTTCTTCTTCCTCGGGATGAACTGGGACGGTCCCCCTCTGGGGCGGGCGCCACAAAGTCCCGCAGCGAGTGTCAGGGCGCGGGGCTGAATCCCGGGAAGGGCAGGACAGGGCAGGGGGCGGCGGACCCGTGGGGCGGTCTCCGGAGAGGGAGAGCCTGGAGCTCGCTCGCCCGTGGCCTCAGGTGCGGCGGGTGGAAGGCGAGGCGCGGAACTTTCTGCCGCTGCCGCTGCCGCTGCCCTCTGCTCAGCTTTTCCCGCTACCGGCTGAGCTCAAGCGCTGGGTCTGCGCCCTGGTGGAGTCCGCGACTGGGATAGCTCGGCCTCTCAGGCCGGGCAACTTTGTAACACCAGCTGCGGGCAGCCAGGGTTGCGGTGCGGGCGTTGCTACTGGGCCCCAGCACCGAGCACACTCTGGTTCTTGGCTGTCTTCCCCGACGGTTGCCTTTTTTATCTGCCTCTCTTTGCCTGTTTCTTTAAGTGCCCCATCCTCTCTGATTCTCCTCTTTTCCATCTCTGACTCAGTTTCTGTCCATCCGACTGAGACTTTGCTTCCTCCTGCACCCAGATACCTCTCTCTCTCTCTCTCTCTCTCTCTCTCTCTCTCTCTCATTCTGTTTCCCTCTGTCTTTCTTGGGATGTCTCTGTATCCCTTATTCAGTTTTGTTGGCTAGTCTTCCGTCTTGAAGGCCCTCCCCTTCTCCCTCCCTGTCTCTTACCTCCTTCTGTCCTCACCTTGCCCCTCTTCCCCATCCTGAGGCAGTGGGGTCAGATGCACACACCCTGGTTATTCAGGACACCTCCAGGTGCAAAGATCTCTCTGCTCTGGGCCGGCAGGAACACCAGGATCAGATCAAGGGATTTGCCCTTGTCTGGGGTACTTTGAGGCCAAATGAGGGGCTTAAGGGTTAGAGTAGAGGGTTCCATGCTACCCTTCCGTCTCCGGGTCCAAGGGCGCTGGCAGGAATCCCAGCGCACTATGGCTGCTGGTCTGGACAAGGAAAGATTGGGGGAGCCCCTTCCGTGCTCTATTCTTTGACTATGGTTAGTTCAGTTTCCAGGTGGAGAATCTCTACCTCCAATATAACAGGCAGCCGAAGGATAAGAGTCAGTGGACAGGCAAATATAGAAGCTTCTGGGTTCAGGAAAAAACTCGTCTCCAAAAGATGGGATATTTTTGAAGCCAAGGTGTTGCTAGGAGCAGAGAGGTGCTCTGGGGGACAGAGGGAGGCATGCTCGCCTTGAACTGTCTTCACTCAGTCCTTAGGAGAGTAGTTGTGTGGGAGAAATCGCGGTCACTTTTACCAGAATATCTTACAGGTTTTATTTGCAGGGGTAAAGACACCCAACCCAACCTCTTGAAATTTCTGGCTTCCCTGGGGTCCTCAGATTTTCAGCTTTATGTGAAATCTGCCTTTGCTTGGGCTCTCTACCCCTTTCCCTTTTTCTCTTCCTTCTCCCCTCTCCTTTGCTTGTTTGTGTCCATGCCCTCTAGTGTTAAAGAAACCTGCTGGTTTGAGAATACTGAAAAGTAAGGTCAACCTATTGGTGATTAACTTTGGGTTTTTCACTTTCCAGGGATCTTTCCTTATGATACCCATACCCTTTTTCTTTCCTCAATGACTTTTGCATTGTGTTACTAATCTTTCCTTTTTCCCATCTCTTTCATCTCTTCTGTGACTGAGGATTTAGAACCTTAATACTGAAACCCTGTTTGTTTAGCTTCAGAGATGGATAGATCTGGAGAATTTCCGAAGCCTAAAGCAGGCTTTGAATGTTAAAAAAAACAAACAAAAAACAGTGCATTTCTCTGTACTGTTTGCCATAAACCAGGATTTCACATCTCTTCCTTATACCTCCTTCAACTCCATTGATAATTTCCTGGCTGCTCCTGCTTGTGTTTAATTCACCATTTCTAAGATGGTTATATCATTCCAGGGCTTCTAATGCTTGCCTAAGTAAGGGCACAATGTCTCAGATCAGGTTTGGAAAGAAATAAAAGAACGCTTTTAGAAAAGGAATTACAGGATGCTGCTGGTATAGATTAATTCTGGATCAGAAAGTCTACAGTACAACTGGGTTTTGGGTCAGATATGCAGACCCTAGGGAAGTATGATAAAGCTTGATGAAAACTTGTTGGATAAATGAATAACTTGCAGCTGATTATAGACTTCCAAGTCATCCAACTGTGTAGATGAACCTGTGTACTAGAAGTTGAACTCTCTCTCCCTTTTCTGTTTATTTAGTTTTCTATGAATAGGAATTGAGGAAAAGTAGAAAGGATATTGAAACAGAAGGCTTCTCTCCTTTCTAGCTCATCTCACTGTTTGAATTTGTCTCTCTCTGTAAGTCTTTAACTAGGCTGGTCTTCTTTGAGAAATTTGTTTAGCGATTCTGTTGGATAGCATCTCTCAGCCTTCATACTTGAAAGTAAACTAGGACATGGCATCATTTTGGAGGAAGAGTTTCATGTGGTTTTTAACAAATAAGAATTTCTCTTTTTTAATATAATGAACAGATGTATCAGCTTAAAATATTTAGGGGTTATAAATTGATATGTAGGCTGAATTACTGATTTTTACAGATTCCTCCATTGCTTCCAAAGTGTGTGTGTGTGTGTGTGTGTGTGTGTGTATATATATATATATATATATATATATATATATGGTGTGATACTATATGCATATGAGGATTTGCCAGAGTTGCTGGAAATATAATCCCCCTGATTCAAACTAGAACTAGTAATCCATGGGCTACTGTATTTTTTTGATGATATGCTACTAACCTCTTAAAATATTTGGAGATTTACCATGATTATTATACGAGGCCATATTCAAGACAATTTTGTTTAAAAATGTTGCTTATAAGTTACTTGATACTGTCTTCAACTCGATTTTGGCATATAAAAATAGCAAGGATTATAAAAGTAAAAATTCTAATATTGGTTGAAATGTCTTAATTTCTTACACGTTTAACTTTTTAACTTGATGTGCATTCATTTCAAGTTAAACAGTTATATCAGAATGGAATACATTTTCACCTTGCAAATTTGATTATTAGAAATAGTCACTGTCATAATAACATTTCCATGTAATAGAGGTTATGAACTTACAAAAACTTGGGGATTTTAGGAAGAGGGTAAAAGAATAAGCAACAAATGAGTATTTTTATTCTATTTAAAATAAATAGAATTGGGCAAATGAAGAGAATACCAATGTTTCTGAATAATAAGAATAAAGAAAATGATCTGGAGTCAAGCATGAACAGAATTAAGTCTCTTCATTCTTTATGAAAGTAGACAGTGTCTATAATTGTGTCCTTTAATGAATTTGCCCTATTAGATCTCATATTCTCAAGTGACACCTCTTGTAATAAATAGCACACTGTTGATTGTGACTTTTAATACATCACCTTCCTGGATTTGTGTCTCTATTGGTAGGAAAGTGTAGGTATTTTAAATCTAATGAGATCTAACAGATTCATGGCTTCAGAGTCTGAATGACCATATGCCTGTGTATCTAAGGATTTTAATTGGGTTTTGTTTATAAATTCTTCCTTCTGATTTTGTTATCAAAATAAACTCAAATGAAACATCAACTCAAGACCTAAATATGTACTCATATAGGCTCTGATAATCTCTTTGATGACATTTCTTAAGGCAATCTATCTTCCCTAACCAAGCAGGTATATACACACACCCACCACTGCCACTGCCAAGCATATGTTTGAAACCACAAATTGGATTTAAATATCGGTTACGGTTTGCTTTGATAAACCATGTATCATTTAATATATTAGACTTCTATTTACTATTTCTATGTTAAAATACATTAAGAACTTCTGCTACTCAATAACCAGCATATGTGTTTCTGAGAATCTAACTTTCTGTTGTTAAATTTCATACATTGAGAATTTAATGACACTTATGAAAATGAATATACACATTAATTCAGTAATAGTTGGTCATCCATTTGGAGCATTCTAAGTAGTTATCTTCAAGAGCAGAAGTATAAACCAAACAGACTTTATTCATTTTTTGTTTCTCCTTTATTTAGATTATTTATAATAATATATTTGATTAGTCTTATGTTGAGTAATAAGAAATGATTAGAGGTTAACTAAAGGTATTTACATGATTCTGATTAATGTATCCTCTAATCTCCCTAAATTCATTTTTGGCTGAGTTTTGGAGGTAAACTTAGTATTTTGCAAGATATACTTATTTAAGCTGACCTTTTTGTCTTCTAAAGGTTATTAGAACAAATTGCTGAGAGGATGATGGGGCTTAAAATTTAAATTATATGTTAAAATAGGCAGAAATACTTTCCATTCAAGGGCCCAGCTTCACTCAAACGTCTACATAATTATAGTCTTCACAAACTGTCAGCCTTGCTCTTAATGTCTGTCTTTCTATAATCATGTACCCTTTACAATACAACTGAAATAAGATCCAAAATATCAGTTTAAAGTAGTTCCGTGAGAATGGTTAATCCTCTCGAGAGCTTAAGAGTGAAATAGAGTAATGACTATCATAGATATAAGCATATTACATGATATGTAAGATTATTTAGCATACTGTCCATAGTAAATAAACACTTAGACTTGTATTTTTTAAAGAAATGTTTAATGTTAAGCTAGATAGGAGCTGTCCAAGGTATGTCATGGTTTTAACATGATGGGGAATTGATTGGGACTCTGTTTCATACATTACACTACATTGAATTGTCATTAAATCTTATTTAAACCCTTATATAGTATTATAGGAAAAGCTTGATTAAATTGTGGGTTGGCACATTGGTGAATACAATCAATACATATGGTGAATAGCCCACTGTAAAAGCAAGAATTTAAAGCAAAGCCTACACAATCAAAAAACCATCCAAATTTCACCACAGAGATAGTTGTAAATGTCAGTTTAGCATTGCCTTTTATTAAATGCAATGATTTTATAAGCAGAGCATGTCTTTTTTTAATAAA